CTTCCTTCCTTCCTTCCTTCCTTCCTTCCTTTTGCCCAAATATCTAAATAATCTAAATGTCTAAATATAATCGCAGTGTTTCAAACTGCGTTCGACAAGAAAAACTTTGGACGGGATCAAGTCGGAGAACTCTGACCAAAATCCGAAATTTTCATTCGTGTGTAATCATTTCACCAGTATTCATCGAATGAGCCAACAATAAACGCGACAGATATATCAGCGATTGGCTGAAACGATTATCGAGAAACGCGACGAATACAAATGACAGAGAGAGAGAGAGAGAGAGAGAGAGAGAGAAGGATGTGATTTAATTACACAAAATTGACGAGCTTACAATCAGCGTATAGTGTCGTTCCAATGATTGGACAAACCTCTCGACAATCCGGCGAATTGTTAGTAGCAGGATAAAAAAGGGAAAAAGTGAGAATTAATACATGGTATAAATAAAACTGGCATTACGCGCGCGAGGGCTATAAAAAGTGCTCCCGTTTTCCAACGAGGCGTTTTTCTATCGAGTTCCACGCTCGCGTAAAACGCCGGGTCTCTGGAATCGTACTTACAATCACACGACCCAGTTAATCGATCGGTATAGTACGCAAGTGCAGACACCGTTTATGGTAATTCGTTACGACACATGGTGCATCGATTAGATCGTTGTTCGTTATCTTACTTAGCTAAAGCGAAAGAAACGTAATCTAAACGCGTGGTTACGTCGCCGTCGTTACGAAACCAAGAGAAGTTTTATATACAAAACCGGAGAAGGAGAAATCCAGAATTGTCCACATCCTGTGAAATGTAATTAATCGGGTTAATCTTATGGCTGTTTCACCAATCGTGGTAATATTTTCCAAGTCTCTGCTAACGTCGTCGTTGTCCGCGACTTGGAACTTAGTTGTAGTGGAAAGATCTCTCTCCGTCGTACGCGGAGCCCGCAAATAGGTAATAAATACGTCTCGGAACAGGATCAACGCGCGATCGAGATCCATCGGCCTCACGGGTTCACGGCACGTGAAGGAGAGATCGCGCGTCAGCGATAGCTACGTTGCCGAGCGCGGTAACCATAAATCTCTGGGCCTCCGACTGGCTTCCTCTGGCTTCGATGCCGCGAATGGATCCTCTCTCTGTGTCTGTCTGTCTCTCTCGTGGCTGCGTTCTCGGATGGAGGGCGTTTTAACAAGGCGTTGTTAAAACGCCTTGCACGTTTGCGCCGCTGGTACGTGCACCGCGCCAGAGTAGAGTTTCTTGGGGACGGAGCGCCAACCGAAGATCAACGCTCTCTCGAAAGGCTCGTCGGCGCAACCGTCGCACACGTCCATGATCGCTCTGACTTCGGCCTCCGCGGGTTCCCTCTCGTCGTCCTTGTTCTCGTACTTGGGCAGCTGCAGCCCGAAATTGGTCAGACCAGCGAAGTAGTCGTTGTCCAAGCCTTGGGAGACGTAGCCGTCGTCGACGATCAGACCGTCGCCCAGCTGCAGCAAGCCTCGTTTCTTTTTGCTCGAGTCTCCTTTCTCCTTTCCAGACACGAACGTTACCTGCGAGCGAGACCGCTCTTTTTAACTCTGCTTAGTTTAAGGTTAACAGGCTTTTCACGTCAGAGTCAAAGAGTTGGCCGTCGACTTTTTCTTATCGACTCTTACCTTATCTTCATTTTTCCACTCTGTCTCTGTCTCCTTTGGCACGAACGTTACCTGCGAGCGAGATCGCTTTTACGTTCTTTTCAGAGTAAATTTAGACGTGTTAGACCTCTCTTACCTCTCTTCCATCGGAGGGCTTTTCCGTCGGCTTGGCCGCGACCTCCCTTTTAGCCACGCTGCTGGATACTCGGCCGGTGGCATACGCCTCGGCGCTGCCGCTGTCCGATTCGTCGCTCTCGGCGACTTGCATCGCCAGCGAGTCCTTCTCTCTCTTGAAGAGACTGCGGTACTGCGGGCTGGCTGCCACGTCGGTTATTCCGCTCGCCGAGGGCGAACCTAGGCTGCCGAAGAACTGGCTAGATTGCAGGGGGAACGCCGTCGTCACGGAATTGGGATTCGCCGGTGGTAACGGTTGAGGGGCTGGATCGCGTGGAATCACCGCTGGGTGCCTCAGGGTCACTCCACCCTGAACGATCTGCAGCGGCGATCCTGGATTGATTTTCACCTGAAATTTACCAAGTTCTCTCTCTCTCTCTCTCTCTCTCTCTCTCTCTCTCCCACCGTTTTTTAACTCGCCGGTGAAGAGAATTTCGTCGAATTCGTCGGTTCGTTTAAATTCGTTTAAAGTTGAGACGATGACGCACCTGATGATTGATTTGTCCGGCAGTGAGGTAGGGATGTTGCGGAAGGGGTGGCCCGGTCACAGGAGGACGCGTAGGCCTGGGCGTGTTGTTGCTGGTATCGTGCTCGTAGCGATGCGCGTGATGATGTTTGTGGTCCTTGTGGGCTTTCCCGGCTGTCAACGCGACCCCGTACAGCTGCACCATCGTTATTTCGCCGAGCAGTCCGCCGGATCCTGTGTCAGCAGCAAACGTTCTTCTTCTTCGTTCGAACAGACACAGATTCGCGAAAGATTCAACGAAATTCATAAATTTCTACGAACGTAATTGCAAGAAGCGACTACTTTTTTTCCTTTTTTTTTTTTTTACTGTCCGATTGTCCCTCTGAGAATTGGTCAAATTCGAGTCTCCTTTGCGCGAGAAAAATCGTTCGACTTATATCTTTTTATAAACAGAGAAGCCACTCGTGTGAAAAAAATACGCGAGTAAACATTGTTACGTTAGTTGGTGTTACTTCTCACCTGGAGGAGCTTCGTCGCCTTCCAAAAATCCGCCGCCGAGTTGTCGTTGCTCCTGCCCTGTGATCGCTACTCCACCCCCTTTGATGACGTGCCGGACCAACTAACGAACCGAGAGAAACGGCAAGCGAGCTAATTAGCCAAACGGTTCGTTTTCATCTCGTATTTCCCACCGAGTCGGAGGGAAACGCGTGAGAGAATGCGTTCACTTTCTTGCTCGAACGATGGCCGAACGACAAACGAGAATGCGAGAGATTTAGATACGCGAGAGCG